TACATATGTATCACTTTGTAATACCTTTAAACTTTGATAATTCTTAACTCGGGAATATTTTCGGGAAATTTTACTTAAAGATTTAATTTTACTTTAAGATTTGAAAAGCATTTTAAAAACATCATAACATCAATTAAAAGAATAAAAAATAGGGATTTCTACTTAAAAATTCTAAAATATGTTAATGTGATATTGACATCATATTTATGGTCAAATAGATGGCATAACTTTTTTCAAAATTTTAAAAGACAACTTTTATCTAAAATATTTTTTTTTTGAAAAAAATTATTTCCAAATATTCAAAGTGTGCATTTAAAATGAATCATTTCATTTATTCGATTTACATTTATTTTTTGTGATTAAATTTTCGTAATTTTCAACACTATCATTTTCACGATTTTAAATCAGTTATAGAAATACTTAAATTTCAGAGTTATGATATTATAATTGTGAAAATTATTTTATCTTTTCTGAGTGAGATCGTTGAATAAGCACGAGTTAATTGTCACAGTTACTGGCAGCAAAAATGGCAGACGCAGCTACGCTTCTTTTTTTATAAAAATAAATTTCTGAACAACTCTGTCCTCAAGCATAAGTTAGTACATTCAACAGTATGTTCATTCATTATTCATTTAATTAATTCAGTTAGTTTTTGGCAATGAATTCATCATCAAAAGGATATAACGTCCCGTTAAGTTTGTATCTATTTATACATTGAAAATTGGTAATCGCAAACTGAAGATCAGAATTTGATCAATCAAATAATTTTAATTTTCATTCATTTTTTCAATCATTTCAATTTTAAATCTCTATTTCATTTTTAATGATCAATACAGTCTAATATGGACTGTAGTTGATATAAGCGATGTCATAGCTCGTTACCTTCTCTTGCATTTGCTGCTTCATGGCGATCGTCTTCTTCTTGTCTTTGCATCTCTTATTCTGGAACCACACCCTGATCACGCGTGGACTCAGCCCTGTCATTTCGACGAGCTGTTCCTTCATCAGGGCATCCGGTCGAGGGTTTGCCGCGTAACAGGTTCTCAGGGTGTGTAACTGCTTTTCGTTGAGAACCGTGCGTACTCTCGTCGGCTTTCCGTCGGAACCTCCGCCACTTTTGTGGCCACCGGAACCGCGAACGCCACCGACGCCTGCCTTATGTGATCCGCTCTCAGATCCGGAATCTGCAAGCATAAACGTCGAGAGTCCTCCCTCGTGGTGGTCGTAGAGCCGAGCTAAACGAATACGTTTTCCAAATATAAAATATCAATTATAAGCAATACAAATTACGGGACATTTCCACACAGCACATATCTTGGAAACGTTCTTAAGACGTTCAGAAGATATATAAGAACGTTCACTGGACGTCTTTAGGACGTCTGTGCTGTATGGGACTTTGAAAAGTGCATTTTAAAGGATGCAAGATATGATTTATTGAGAGATTTCTTGAAGAGAATTAAGCTACAACGTAATAGTATAAAAAAAGATACACGGAAAAGACGGTTTTTTTGAAATATCTAAAAAAAAACTAAATATAGATCCGAAAATAATTTTGTTGAAATATCAAAATACCTATATATGATTCAAGCTGGTTGCTAGAATATTAAAATTTTTTTTGCAGCAGTACAATGCTCGTTATATTCTCATATAACAAAAGTGTCCAAATTATATCATAGGGACTGAAGATCGCGTAGCATGTATAAAATATTCATATGATATATTTGGAATAATTCAGCTGTGTAGATTTTATCGTTCTACATAATTATTTTCATCTTAATTAATTCTTAATACTATAATAATTAATTTAATAATCTTATCAGAAAAATGAAATCTTTATGTAATCTTTGAATATTATATATTTCAACAAAATTATTTTCAGATTTATATCTGTAAATTAAATTTGATATTTGTAGATTAGCAATTGTTCTTTCCGTGTATATCTATAAAGTATTGATTGGATTTGAGTCACTGTGACATTTGCGTAAGTAGGTGTTAATAAAGTTAGCGGGAAAAAATAGATGTATTAAAGAATGTTTTTTGCAAAGCTAATTAGTTAATCTAATACGCAGACTTAAGAAAGAGATTCTGTTATTTTTATGGAGTAATAAACTGACGTAAGCATGCGAATTGCTCCAACTGTGAAATCGCAGAAAGAAAGATAAACGCGAGTTCACGTGACGATTGTAAATCTTTCGAGTCTTCCGGATTCTTCGTTAACGTTTTTTTCGACAGTTACAAAGGGCGAGTGTGCGGTTGCCGCCTCTCGGGAAGATTTATCCGCGAGAGCATCGCGTTCGCGAAACGAAGCATCCCGAGCACGAGGTACGGAAGAAGGGAAGGTACGCACGATACGATTCCGGACTATCTTCCTAACCGGTCTTACAAAACGGTCGAGTCCGGCTAATGGGAGATCCAGATACTGGTTCAGCATGGCGGATCAACGAGGAGCGAAGCAAAAGGTACCGACGCGACGATCGTCTGCGAACTCAGTACTCGACACAACAGTCAAGAGACAATATTGTCGATGGACAAACGCGGATCTCGTGCTCATGTGATTCCTTGATCAGCCGACCTTGGTATCGTGATACATTCATGACTCGCGAGCCACGGTTTTATTTACAAGAGATGGTAGAGGCTTTCCGTTTTTTTGTCAAAAAATAATACTTTGTTTGTCTGTCCATCAGTCTCATAGTCGTCATTCCTGAGAATACTTGAGATATACTTGAGATTTATTTAAAAGAAAAAAGATGGTAAAATATAAATCTTTATCAATATAATTTCGCGATTGAGATGACTGTTATAAAGTAATATATCAAAAAAATGATATACTTTAGCAAAAATTTTAATCATTTTATTAAATTCTAACTAATAAGCGAAGCTTTAATTATTAAACGTCTCGTTACGGGAACAAGACACTAGTGTATGACCAACCCAATTCGATTGCTTATAATTTTCATAAAATAAATATATGGTAAAAAAATTTGTTTCCAATTGAAACACCAGAACACATTAAGGAATATAACAGGAATATAAACAATGAAAAAAGCAATTATAAGCAATGGAAAAGCAATGGAAAAATTTGGAAAAAGCAGGTATATCATATCGAAATAATGTTTAAAGATCTTTGCGAGTAGCTCAATTTTTTGCCATTAAATGATGATCTAAACAATACAGAATATTAAAGAAATCCTTACGATGTAATGAGAAGAAAATGAAGTTAATAGAAGTTGCTTAAAATTACTTCACGTCACTTGCAGGAGATTAAATTACCAATAATAAAAATTTTGACCAATCATTTTACCAATGTATTCTAGATAATGCCGACGCTCTCTTTAGGCGTCGTGTCGTTCGAGATCTAGTGAGTCCGCTATGCGGGAAGACGAAAAGTCAACGAGAATATACTACAAGAGAACAAACGAAATCCTATTTCTGTGTCCTAACCAAATAGCGGTCTTGGTTGGCAACCGAGAATGAAACCAACGTTGACACGGCGGCACGACGATAAGAAGAGTAGATTTTCGACCTTCGAAAAACGATATATGATTGTGTAGCTGTCATATGATGTATAGATTGGAAAGTATCTTCCGCAGAAAGAATGAAAGGTAGAAGAGGTATTTAATTTGATTAGGGAGAAATTATCTCGCGAGTGTATAACATCTGCAAAAAGCTAAATTCGGTAATTATTCAATTTTGAGTACACAATCATAAAAATTAAAACAAGAATATACAACATCGCGTTTTTTTTAAATGAAAGCAAGGAATTTGTCTGAAAAAAGTATTATTCTGTTTTGCGAACACGTTAATCGTAGTTATTTATTACTATTGAGATTACAAAACTTGTCATATCGACATAATTAACGAACTGCGTATGTACTAGGATTAGATAAGAATGAAAAAGGAATAAATTTCGAATCATAAACTGTTCTCAGCTATGATTTAATATATAAGAAAATTGATAGTTTTAGTTAATTAAATCAGAGAGAATATGTATGTATAAATTTTGAATCATAAATCATATTTTCTGCTATAATTAAAATTATACGAGAAAATTTGCGTTTTTAATTAATTAAAGCAGAGAATATGTATAAATTTTTGATCACGAACTCTATTCTGTCAATATGATGGATTTTCTAACTTGAGCGATTATCAAATTTTGGGATTAATATCTCGGTTCGTGAAATAGAGCGACACTTTTTTTCTGCCAGATTCATTTTATGAAAAAACGCATCAATTGATATATTCTTTATTAACTTTTGTGATTGTGAATGTTAAACTGAACTAATACTCTAAATTCTTTTAAAAGTTGAATTTTCATCTGATTCAATTTTCATTAATTTTTTGAAAATTGACTAATGTTGACTAGTTCGTAGCGTACGTGTTCAAACAATCACGCCGAAAATTTGTTTCTTTACACATAAAAATAATCCGTATCCTAATAAATTTGATCCTCTTAACGCCTAGAGAGCAGCGAACGATCATACAATCGCGGGGCATAAATTCACAGAACCAACTAAAAAAAAGAAAAAATTTAAGATCAGATTACACTTAAATTTATAGTGTCAAATTAAATTCAATGTAAATTATATTTAATTATTTGTATAGGTTGCCACTACTCCTACCCAATTAATTCAAGAAAATGTATTAAATTTGACACTGAAATTTATTATTTACTAAATGCATACATTGATATGGACAATGTTTACTTTGGAACTAAATCCACAGAAATGAATTGATGTACATTTTGACACACAGAGGAAGTAAAAAATAATAAAATGTTATTTAACTGAAGGGATTGGACCATTGCTTTTTATCTAACAATATAGGTACCAAGATAAATTTTTAAGAATGATCAGAGCTCTTAGATAAAGAATGATCAAAGCTCTTAGATATAAATAAACTCTACGAAAGGGAGATATATTTTATTTTAATATTATAGAACAAAAACATTTTCGCACGAAGCGCACAGATCTCGTGATACCTGAGACGATCGTAATTTCTCACAGATCAAGAACGAACAGTTTATTAGAGTTTATTAGTAATTCGAGGACTATTAATAATTTGGCGACACGTTCATGTATTACACTCAGGTGTCCCGTCCCTTGCGGGATATCCCCAGCGCGCTAATAAAGAAGATAGGAATAAGAGAAAACAGATCGTGCATAGTTATGCGCGACAGTAGTTGGCAGGGTGGTGTTACATTTGGCACCTCGGCAGCATTCTGAAGATACATCGGGCTACTACCGTCGGCATAAGGTGGTCCAACTTTTTCGTGCGTGGGGAACGACGTTTACGCGCGACGATCTCCAATGACGAATCACAATGACAAACACGGGACAACGTGCGCACGTCGCGTTACCGCACACGAGTTATTTGCACGAAAATTAGTATATCGAGTAATTATGCCGATGTTTGTTTTTTACATTTTGAGAAGGAAGAGCGTGGAGAGGAAATCCATATGAGAAACGGTAGCTGGAACGGATCGTGTCACGTTTCTTTCTCGCTTATTATGTCACATTAAAAAGTTCAATTGCAAATGAAAAGATTAAATAATAAAAATGAAGAATAAATTAAATAAGAGAAAAAATCCTATTTTTGATCGAAGTGAATCTTGATAATAACGTTTATATATAGATTTATAATTACATGTTTCGGTTTAATAATTTTAAAAAGTTCATCTTCTTTTTTGATTCTTAATCAGTAAAAAAAGAAATCGAACGTATTGTTTGACAAAATGTAATTTAAATCTCATTTTTCATTATCCCATTGTGATATTTTCGATTTTCAATATCTTGACGCTTACATCATTTTAAAGTGTAATTCATAGTAGCATTTTACCGACGTTTACTTAATCGTTTGTCATTGACACACTAACCGATTTGGCAAATTAGCGAGTTGTAATTGCGACTGCCTTTCAACTCGAAAGAGTCAAGAACATTAACACTGATCGTCTGGCATTAACTCTTAAGTCTACGGCAGAATACTTGTTTTCCTATTGGATTGCTTGCGTTTTAGTAAATTAGTAGAATTACACAAAACGCAGACTAATTTATCAAAACGCAAGCAAGCAATCCAGTAGGAAAACACTCATCGTATGCCATAGGCTTTAAGTGATTACTTGCCAGATTGTCTTTTTCTCTCTAATTGCTACCGATGCAATCCTATGCTGTCTTACATACGATTAGATTTGGTGTCTGAATTCCGTCTGAACTCCCGCTTGGTTGAGTTAATTCGCTCGCTAGCAGTCCAGCCAGTAGACCGTACATTATGCTAGGCTACAGGACATTAAGCCTACCTAATCCTGACGTGTAGGAGGGTAGTGGTCAAGCCTTTACGGTCTTAACGGCTTCAATTATCAACACCTAATTATACGTCGTGAGCCTAACACAACATAGGAGAGTCCTTTGAGCTTACCCTCGAGCGGGCACCCTTTTGTAAATTTGGTCTTTGGGAACATAGACTATGCCTGATAATCCACAGACGTATCCCACATCCTGTCGTGATGTACGTCAGAAGCCGGATTTCGCATGAACGTGAGATAATTTAATCGCAGAATCTCGATAACGATGTTCAATTAAGGAACTGATGGGAGTACGAAAATAACGTCGATGCGAAAATAGACTTTAGAATAACTCGATGTCTAAATTCAGAACGTGGTGGTATTTACTGTTAGATCTTTTCACTTTGAAAAATCTTGGGGAATGATTTCACGAACAATTTGTCAATCCGAAATGTATCGTATTGTGCGCGAAGGAAAGAAAAAAAAAACAATCCAGTCTTTGATGAATGATCATGCTTTTACCTGACATCGAGCCGTCGTTTGGGTGTAGATGATGATTGTTGTTCGTCAGGGAGGCGTTATTGTTATTCTCGCTCCCGGGAATACCAACACCTCCGGTGCAGTGCTTTCCGCCCTCGAGGACATCGTGATCGAGTCGACAGAAGAGACCGTCCTGTCTCAGAGCGAACTCATCGCCAGTTTCGAGCCGCCTCGAGCAGGCGCAACAACGAAAGCATTCCACGTGATAGATCTTAGTTTTCGCTCTCATCACATAGTCATTTTTGCTAAAACACCGGCTACACTTGTCGCACTTTGTGCCGAACAATCTGTAACATATACGAAAAAAAGATGTAATTCACTATCGTGACAAATGAACACGTGAAATTCGCAAAAACGTTGATCCCTGAAGAAAAATTTAAACGAAGAGAAAACTTAAACTTTCTAGACGATTTAAAAAAAAATGTAATGAGAGCACGATAAAAGAGAAATATTCAAAGAAAATTTCTTATCAAAACAGAGTTAGACAATGGAAAAATATTGCAATTAATATTAATTAAGTGGTGAGATTTTAAACTCCACAGAATATTGATCTAATGCGAGGGCTTGTAAAAATAACACGTATTTTATATAGTCATATATTTTCAGAGAGCGCCCTTATCTTGTAACAGTACAGCCAACGTAAATCAAATTCTATCAACTTATATAAGATAGTTAAATTGTTTTTCCAATAAAAACTTTTACGCGAATACATTACACAATTTTTTTACGTGAATTTTGTATTTAAGAATATGCACTTCTACTTTGATGAACTGAATTTGAGTCGGATTTCAGATTTTATCTCGGATTTTGCTATCATGGCAAGTTCTAGAGAAAGTAAAAACAAAATGATCTGATAATTAGAATTTGGGTTATACATATATAATTATTTTCTATTTGTTATATATTTTTATATATATATATGTGTTTACGTCCGTATTCAGAATACACTTATAACAATGTTAGTGCATATTTAACGTACAGCTCACATTACATATATAATACTATAGAATTTCAAAAATAACGTATATTTATCGATAAAAACGTGTTCTGAATACGGGCTATTATCTATCATTTTTCAAAGTAACTAAATGATCTTCAACTAATGTTCGAACTTGTGATAGTTGTTTCAATGGTTATAAATAGACAACTACATATAAATAACAAGAAATTAACATTTAATTAATAATTAATAATTCATATCCTGAAAAATCCACAAGTAACAAAAATATATTAATAAATTGTATACTTTTTTTTAATTTGGTAGCACAACATTAATAGAAGTAGAGTACATTAATTATTTATTTTGTTCAGAAATTTTTCATACCATTAATTCAAAATTTTTATCAATTAAATTTTGCAACATTTTTCTTGATTTCTAATTACTATCCTATATACGAGAATTCTCTAACGTTGACGTTTTAACGGACGAGAAAAATCATTTTAAAAGAGAAGTATATATACTTTTAAATGTGAACGAAAACACAATGTAAATAATTTTAAACTTTACTAAATTTATTTATTTTATTTTACTTCCATTTTATAAAATTTACTTATTTTATTTATTTTACTTTATAAATATGATCAAAATTATCATTTTTAACTTATTTATTTTATCTCATTTTCTCAAAATTTGACAAAAAAAATTGAAAAATTGTTAGATTCACTTCAGTATTCTTAAATAATTTTTATTTTTTAATTCACAGATCTACGTTATCCATTCTAATAATAATTTGATTTTTTTATATATTACATCTCACTATCGACAAATATCATAGATATAACTTTAGAACTGACAAAAATAAATAATTTTCGAACATTAACGTAGGAAATTTTAAAATTTCACAAATAAAAGATCTTTTCAATTCGATGATAATTGATTGAGAAAATAGAATTTTGTATTAATCTTTAATTAATCACTTTGTTTATATTGATATACTTATTTAAATGGAAATTAATCATTATTAATGCATAAATTCAGTTCTGATAAATTGTTGATAATTGTTGATTCATATTTTTCATTATGAAATAATCGCTGATAATCTGCTATAACGTTTGTACCCGTACCATTCTAATATCGAGCAAGATGAATTATAACGTTAACTTTTTCATTATTTACATTATTTTTTTGATAAATTTCCATTCATTATTTTCTATTTTATCACATCGCAAAATTGTAAACATTTTCAGTTGGCGAAATAAAAAGCTCTGTTCTAAATTCGATAAATGCAAAGTAGAGAAATATAAATTGGGCTAAAGTGACTTTATTGTCGCATCGTATATTTATTTCTGCATGTACATTGAGGGCCCTTTTTATACATACGTACACACACACACACACACACACACACACAC